CCAGAACCTTCAGACCTTACCCAAGCTCCAGTCCAAGCACCTTCAGACCTTACCCAAGCTCCAGTCCCAGCACCTTCAGACCTTACCCAAGCTCCAGTCCCAGCACCTTCAGACCTTACCCAAGCTTCATTCCTGGTACCTTCAGACCATGACTTAGTGGCAAATCCTCAATCTAAAAACACCATTGTCCCAGACTGTGCACCTAACCCTATTCTCACTCCAAAACCCGCACACTCAAACCTTACCCTAGCCACAGATGCAGCACCCACTTCACCTACGTCAGCCCATTGCCAGACTCCAGAATTGTCACCAGGCTCAGGTCTAGCCCTGGACCCTACCAGCCCAGGATCAACCTTGCCCCCACACCCAGGGTGTATATCTGTCCTTGTATCTTGTCTAGATCCAGCTGCAGTACCAGCCGATTCAGGTCCTTCTCTGGTCCTGCCTCAGTCGTCAGAGTCAGACCTTTTCAGTCCCTTACCATCCAATGTGCAGGCTGCTTTTAGTTCTGGTCCTGAATGTGGATCATGCTCTAGTGGCCCAGTCCTCAGCTTCCCAACACCTGCAGCCTCGTTGTCCCCTTCTTCCTGCCCAGCCATAACCATAGAGTCGGTATCTTCTATTGCTCTCTCCCAGTCTCCCCCTGCAGCTGTTTCCCCATCCTCAACCACATCCATTCTTTCTCCTCGTTCCCTCGCCTCCCCTCCAGCCCTGTCTTCTATCTCCCTCCCAGCACCAGCTTTACTCCTGGACCCCCTCACTGCTCTGCATCAGTCCAACAAAGGTGGATCTTCCTCTGGCCACGGTTCCTCCCTCTCCCCCTCACCTCGTGCTACTCAGTCTCCTCCTAAGCAGACTCTCTTCTCCCCCTGTGTGGATGTTTTTGAACCAGGACCTCCCAGCTGGGAGGATGGAGAGGAGGAGCAGGAGGAGGAGGACCATGATGATGATGAAGATGAGGATATGGGAGCTGATGAGAGCCAGTATAGACATCGACGACTTACCGGTGACTCTGGGATTGAGGTGTGCAGGTGTCGGGTAGAGGAGGAGGAGGAGGAGGACGAGGAAGAGGAAGAGGAGGGTGAAAGGAAGGAGGGAGGCAGAAGAGGAGGAGGAGGTGAGAGGGATAAAAAAGGAGGTGGAACCACTGATCTTCATGACAGCGTGGACTGCCCTGCCAGAGGTCAGATAACCACAGGAGAAGGACTTATACTTTGCAACGCCACCTCCACCACCACGCCAACGTCTGAGGACAGTGGCAAAGTCATTATCGTCATGGAGACAGTGTGATTGACAGAAGTGGGCGGATCAAACCATTCGTCCCCCAGACAAGGGGTAAACAGAAAGTTAATGATCCACCCTTAAAATAGTTTTCTGAGATTGTTCTTTAAGCGGGGAGATTTAAATCATACGTCACATTAATAAATGTGTTCAGTATCTGTTAGTCAGACCAGCATAAATGTTTAATAGGAAGAGATTCAACAGGAAGCATTCGCTTATTAAAACATGGTTTCTTCAACCATGAGTTGGAGTTTTAGTCAGCTGCGGTTCAGAAGGTTTAGTCTGGTGAGTACTGGTGTTCATTTACTCAGATTGCAGAACTGTTGAACTGAAAATTAGATCATCTGCTCCCCATTGAGATCCCAACAGAAGATCAACAGTTTACACAAAAAATATTTAGCAATCCACCACGTAATCTCTACCAGTGGCTATAAACGGAGAGCTAGCTGAAGCAGCTTGTTGTGATGTGTCTGTAGATCCATCCAGTAACGTTCTCAGTCAGAGTGAACGCTGTAGCAAGCTAAATGTGTTTGTGGAAGTTAAGGTGGCATAGTTAACTTTCTTAGCTCAAATTCTCCAAAATACTGAGAATCTTTTATTAATTTCCTCCCTCGTGAAACAATTGCAAAGTTGTTTTAATCTAATGAAAGATGCTATTTAAGTTAAGTCAGGAAATCTCTGCCTTTGTGGCTTCAGTTTTGACCATGTTTATTTAAATCTGTCTCTTAAAAGTCCTCTAACTTTATGGAAGTGTAACCCACTGCATTGTTTACATCCATATTTACTAGCTAGTAATAATATTCTTCTGCGTCGTCCTCATGCGTTGCTGCGTGCCACCAATGGTTGATCAGTTTGTCAGAGATGTTATATAATTTACATACACAGACAGTTTGACTGCTGCTATAACATGCAAATGCTAGCTTCCTCTAGCTACTGTGTGTTGGCTAATATACCAACTGTACAGTGGTGGTTAGCTGAACAGATGCTATGGCTAGCTCCCAATCAGTCAAAGACACAAATTGCCCCTTCAATCATTCACTGTTCAGTTCAGTTGACTGATATAAATGCAGTCAGATAGCATTCACATCAGCATCCTACTCATAATTACAACAGGGAGACCAGTTCTGAAGTCTCTGCTCTCCCCAACCTTGCACTTGATAATGCAGAAGTGCCAGAAAAAGCAAACAAACACAGATGCCAAAATCAATAAAACATTGTTCTAGGTAATTACACACAACTTTAACAGGTTTAAGCCACAGTCCATCCACACAGCCAATCCTGCAATCATACAACCATCTTGAGCAGCACAACGATGCTAACACTTACAAGTTGTAAAACAAGGGACTCTTTCTCTTTGCATCCCACATTAAACATGGTCGCCAGAGGGTGAATTAAGCCCCTGACAGAAATGACATTTTCTTTCTTACGTTTGACCGTCACCAACCAGAAAATAAACTTTAAATAGTCGAATATGTAGCAAAAGACACCTCGCTTGTCCTGGGTGATGACGGAGATTTGGAAACGTGTCGGGTACAAATTGGCTGTTTTGGAAACGAAGAGCGACTAATGTGGGAGGATGATTCACTCTGACTGACAGCGGGAAGACTGATTCATTCATTACTGGAGACGTTTTGATGAAGTCGTCTGTCAGGAGAGCGGAATTAGGTGGGTAGTTTATAAAATGGGAGAGACAGTTTCTTAGATTTGATGTGTTCATGGCAACTTGATCCTGGATGGAAGGGTTCGGGGAGGATCAGTTGGCTTTCTGTGCGTCAGCCTTTCGGCAGAGAAGAGCTTTTGCATATATGGGAATAAACAATGGGCACTTTTAGACAGAAACAAAGCACCAAACAGAACAGAGACAAGAGAACGTCATCATTCCTGTCTTTGTCTCTTTCTCTGAATTTGAGGTTTGATACAACAGTACGTCGAATACGACACCACACAACATAAATTCAGTCCCAGTCTAAACTCAAAAATATTAACTTTCGCACGCTGCAACTCATCTGTTATCATTCACCCTCAATTCACTAAATTCACAAAACAAGTCAGGCTATTTCAATTACTTCTATCTATTAAAGAATTGGAGAACAAGTCCTTTAGGATTTTTATTTTTAGGCCGTCAGATTGATAGACGTGGCAATATTGATATTTTGTGACAGAAAATAAAGGTAGAGTATATTTTGTCAGTGAAACTGAGCTACTAACGTTTGTGTTGTTCATGCTGGTGTATTTCAAATCACCTTAGAATCTGAATTTAGTTTAGAGCAATATATTTCATCAGCAAAAGTCTGTAAATACCCCACAAAAATAATACAGGCTGCTTCAGAAAGCGTTGATAGCAATGCAGTGCGTTGTCCTTGTTGGTTAAAATCCTGCCTTCAGGTGATTGTCACATTGTAATTTGGACTGAATTATGACTCCATGCTGGTTCAGGCAATTTCAACTCACTTTTGACTGATGAAAAACCTTCTGGAGAAACTAAAAATGCGTCAGATTCAACAACATGGAAAAGTGAGATTTTGACTCAACAACAGCAGTGCACTGACTGAACGGGCTGGTGCAGTGTTTAAGAGACATTTCCAACACACTTCGTGGAGGTATGCCTTCACACATTTGTAATACTTTCTAATTGTGTAAACATCAACGTGATGCCAAAATGAATGAAATAAAAAAGGCCTTGTTGTTTTTGTCCTGGTCTTGATAATCACCCGTTAAACAATACAGTCACTGTACTTTTATATGAAACGAGATTCATAAGATTTTTGTTAATTCCATCAACATCTTTTCCAAAATCCTGTTTCAACAAGAATAACCCCACATTGTTGTGGCAGGATGCTCTATTATTGGAACATAGATGTTTGGAGCGTAGAAGTGAGATGTCTTTTACCTTTTTCTGTCACGTTTTCTTACACCTGCTCCAGAAAAGTGCACTTGTTTTTTTGCGGTTAATGTAAGCTGTGTTATAAAGTTTCACAAATGTGTGTCGTTCCAAACCAGATTTCAGAGTGTGTTGGAAAAGACACCAGAGAGTAAAGTAGTCAGGGAGAGACAGAGTGCAGTGACATCAGATTGTACCAGAAGTGCTTGAGGCAATATAATCTTAGAGGAAAGTGATGCTTTCAGGTGAAACTACTTTTCTCAGTCACGGATATCATTAACTCAACCTTCTCTCTGATGGAAAGACCTCGAGTCTGGTTGACAGATCCTTAAACCCTGTGTCCATGCTGCATTACAACGCGGACTTCACGTACTTCGCTACCCATTTGTTGCAAAGGATGTTGGGTATAACTTTGCTGACAGAGGTACCCATACGGATGCCCATAAAGGACAAAGTTATATTGGACCCCATTATGACAAAAGCAATGTCCTGCCACGGAAAGAAAGTGTGACTCGACTGCAGCAACAGAGAAGTTTCTGCATCTGATTGACAGCTGGAGGTTTTCTGGACTGACGTCTCGACCGTCGGTTTGGAATCCAACAAGCACAAGATTGGATTCATACATGGATGGATAAAAATGATCTCTTGTTTTTTAACCCTTGTGGCTAAATTCACAGATGTAGGAATGTGTTTTTGAGCAGATGTGGACTCTGGAGAGCTCAAGCAGATTCTCTGATGGCGTCTTTGATTTGTCTCAGACTGAAGTCTAAAACGACAACTTGTTCGATTGGATCCGGGTCAAATTTGTGCCTGTGGACTGAGGCCTAAGAGTCGAGAGAGGCTGAAGGACCTCCTCGAGAAAGTTCAAGGGTGATACCGAGCCTTTGATGTTGTGGTTGATGGTGTTTTTTGTTTACCTGAACTAATAAGGTTATATATCTCCATGGTTACAGAGTGCCATTTCTACTTGACAACTGTTACTACTTAGCATTAGAATGAGCTGTTCTCGCTCTGTGTGGGTGTCGACCAGGATGACTGGAGAAATGTTGTTTAAAATCTGTCTGTAGCTCAGGCTCCCAAAGGCTCTGCAGCTCTGAGATCAGCCTCGTGAAGGGAAACACAGCTGGTTTTAGTATCTGCCATTTCATTGAGGATTTTACTAGGGCTGGCCCCCTGACTGAAGATTTAATAGTTGTTAGATAAAGCCAATAGTCGACTAGTCGTCACACGTTTATGATATTAATTTATTTAAATCTCTATATTTGAACAGCAGACTGTTAAATGCCAACAGAGAAAGCAGTAATGTAACTAAGGAGACACATTTCAACACAGTGTAACATCACACAAGGATGATGGATAACATTGTACAACACTTACTTACAAAGCTGTGAACCTGGTTCCATTGCGCACTCAACTGGCCCTAATTGCTGGCTCATTCTCCCTGGCTAGCTCCTATGCTATTAGTGTAAACAAACCAACTATCTGGGTAGATACTGTGTTACAAGAGAAAAGGTCCATGTTGCAAGAGTCTCAGTGACAAGCTGCAGCTCCCCAACAGAGTCTGACGTTTTTCTATCGGACTACTCTAAAGTGAAAGACTCTTCTCATCAGTGTCAAACAGCTTTAGTCGACTGTCTAGCGCGCGGCAGCCCTAGATTCTTACTCCAAATGTCCTCACAGTACCAGAAGATTGTTGACACTGTTTGGACGGGTCGACACTGAATGGGCATCCATTTTTTTGGTGGAAATAATTTCCACCTTCAGTAAGCCAGATCAATGAAGTTATCAGAGAAAGAATTCTTACAGATTTACCAGCACTAATATTGAGCTGCCAGTTAAACGAAAGAAGGTCAAATCAGTAGAGATAGTAAGTAGAGAACCTCGTCAGAACTCCTGACGCCTTTCAACGTTCAACGTACCCAGAATATCTTTTAGTCATCCGGCTTTAGTGACCCTAACATCTGTAATCTCGCTAAGTGTTCAGACAACAAATGATATAAACTCCAGTTAAATTCCTGACACTAAAGATGTCGATACTTCTGGTGCTCTGTGGCATTTTAAGTCTTCATTCAAAAGACTGATAAAATCTCCGGTGATCTCCCGATGCACGAGGCTGATGTGAGGGCTGCTGTAACGTTTGGAAATCCTGTCTTTAATCTCTTTATGTTGAAATATCTGTTGAGTTAAACCGGGGCAAGTTTATCATCAAATCTCAGTGGACGAAAACACTGAAAAATAGTCCTCTCTGATAGAAGAGTTTCACACTGACTGGATTCACATTGACAGGTCAGATTTGGGTTAAACAAAAAATTGAATTCAGTAAAAATGTCTAAAAACCGTCAAATGACCGTTAAATGTAAAAGACTAAGTTACTTCCTGCATACAATGTGGGACAAAGCTGAACGCTATAAAGACCGAACCAACAGGTGTTTTCTCTCTTTGACAGTCAGGGAGGAGCATAAACTTCACAGGCATTAAAACAGGAGGTAGAATTGCTGACACAAGAGTTTAGTCGGATCTTTGTATTGAACAGCCAAATACAAAACTGTCATTTGTTTTTCTCCAAAAATATCCTGGAAAGGCCTTTTTCATCTATTTAGTTGTTCAAAGCACAAACCTTTTTGCTCACCAGTCTTCTTCTTCTTTTGTTTATTTTACTGATGCGACGTCTTCAGGCAACACAAGAGACGTCATTCGTCACAAATGTAAAACACATTTTTAAAAAGTTTTGTTAGAACAACTGACAACGACTGGATCAGACGGGATCAGACTAGCAGACCTGGTCCAACTTGGTCCCAAATCAGATTCATCGTCGTCTCAGCAGCCCTAATGTGTTTCTATCTGCTGCCGGTTAGGGAACCATTTCACTGTGAAGAAGCTGCAGGAAATGCTGATTTAGTCACCAAGACCAGGAACTGAACACTAATTAATTTTAAAAAGAAGTGTAGATTTGCCCATTTTTCTACAACTTGATCATCAGAGCCGTTTCACAGATTGCTGGAGGCTGATGGAAGAACAAAGGACGTAGACAGACTGAGCCTGGTAGACGAAGCGGTGAAGGTCACAGGTACCGAAACACTTTTCCTGTCGTGTAGAAACAACTGCATCACAAGTTCTGATCTCGGCTGCTTAAAGGTGCATCACGGCGCTGGTTTTTGGGATAAAAATGGAAGTCATAAGATCCTGCTGAGAGATTTAGAGGATGTAAAAACAAAGCAGGAACTCAACCTCAGTAGTTTGATAAAAACTTTGCAGCTATGAGGTGAATTATCGTTTGTTTGAACTTTATCTGAGGAGACAATGAGCACATTTATATTCAGAAAGTTCTTAACCTTCAAACCTTCTTAACCTTTTACAGATAACCGCTGGTTGCTGGAGCACATTACTCTACTGTGGGAACCCGATCCTGATTGAAAATGTGAATCCAGTCAAAGTTTGAGACCAACTCTGGATTTCGGCCGTGTTAAATGTCAACCATTTCGGCTCTTTGATCAACGTTCACTTGTTCCACGAGGAGCAGCTTCACCTGTGGTGTTTGATGAAGTTAATTAACTAAAACGTCCGTCTGTTCCTTCTATCGTAGGAGCCCCTCCCTCCGTCTAAAGAATGTTTTTATCTGATCTCTTCTCTGCTGTGCTTCCTGTTTGCATGAGGTTTCTGTCGGAGGAGGAGTGGAAGTAGGCAGAGAAGAGATTTAAAGTCCCTTAATATTATGATGATAACAATGCTAATTATTAGTATTACTAAATTAATAGTGAGTGTGTATGTGTGGATGTATGTGTGTGACCTAACTAAACCAGCCTGTTCTAAAAGTGTGTGAAGATATACTGAATAAAACTGTCAAATCTACCTCCTGTCTGCCTCCGTTCATAAAGCTGAACCACATTCACACAACAAACACAGGAGATAAACAATCATTTATTGATCAATTATATGTTTATTTCTAAATCACCTATTTAGGAGAAACGACAAAATCATGTTATTCATTAAAACATTAATATTTATTATACATTTATATTTAGTTCTTGTTGTAAATGACTTTAACTTTAGAAAACAGAAGTAAATTGTATGTTTTACAATAAACTAGCCTAGCATTAGCTTTATGCTCTTATCAAGCACTTAAAGGTTCAGTTTAGAGGCTCCACTGACATCTAGTGGTGGAGTTGCAAATTGCAACTCACTTCACTTTTTTCCAAGCGTGAGGGAGAAACTACGGCCAAATATAGAGTCAGTGTTTGGTTTGTCCGTTCTGGGTTAACGTAGAAACAGTCGCCGACATTAGAGGACTCTCTAGAATAAAAACATTCTATGGAATCAAACATACAACGATTCTTATATTCAGGTGATTATAATGAAAACATACTGATAGATATTATATTAATGTTTCACACTGTTTGTTTTGATTATTTTTATGAAGAAAAAGTAGAAGAAAGATTTTATAGAAGAAATTCAGCCAAAATTAAGCTCTTTATTTATGTTTATGGACATTTTTAGTCGTTTTATATCTGTAGAAACTCAGTTTCTGTTCATGTAATTTATTTGGAAAAAGTTGGAGCTGTTAGCTAACTTCACCAATCTGGTGACAGACAATAATTAACTTTATTGTTTTTGGCTGAATAATTAATTTAATATTTTAATTTAACATTAAGAGGATCTGTTGTTTTCCTTAGTTACCTGTTTTGTTTCTACAGTAGCCCAGAAAGGACAAACCAAACACGTAGTTTGACTATCAACCCCTCCCTCTTTCATTTTGCCCCGCCCTCCCAGCCCGCCCTCGGAGTGACAACGACCTTATAAGGTAACGGCTGCAAGACCACGCCCAGCCGCCCCTGCAGGTTGGGCGTGGGAACCCCGTCCGGCACCCTGAAGCTCATCCTCTGGAGCAGAGAGGACAGGAAGAGGAAGAGCTCCAACCGGGCCAAAGATTCACCGACGCAGACCCGAGGACCCGCCCCGAACGGCAGGAAGCAGGAGGGCGTGACCCGCTGACCCTGGTCGTCAAGGAAACGATCTGGGAAGAAAACAGGGAGGTGTTGTGTTCAGGTGCTTTCTGAAAGGTTGTGTTTGTTTTCAGGTGTGTGTTTGTACCTGGGTTGAACAGGTCGGGGGCGTCCCAGAGTCGGGGGTCGTGGTGAATCGACCACATGTTGACCAAAACACGAGTCCCACGACCGACAGAGTGACCTCCGATACTACCGGAGAGAGAGATTATTGATTCATCTATTATTTTAGGTTTTATCTGATATTCACTTTTCTTCAATAGGACTAAAATAGGATCAAACATCACGTCTAAAAAAAGACAGAACAATGAGTCAATTAATTGTCTGTGGATTGATTGATTGATTGATCGGCTACCTGCTGTCCGTCAGGGCGGTGTGCGGGATCAGCACCGGGCTGACCGGTCGGATCCTCATGCCCTCATTGATCACACAGTCCAGGTACGGCAGCCGGCTGCGGTCCGACACACACACCGGTCTCTCGCTGCCCACGTGCTCGTCCAGCTCCTTCTGCACGCGCTCCTGGACCTGCAGGGGGCGGGGCATAATGACACACACGCCACCATGATTGTTTATGATCAATAACTACGGAGGTGAACTGAAATCAGCAAAAGAAACTGGAGACGAGCTGTTTTTCTCAAGTTATAGAGATACATTTATTTCTTTTTTTAAATATTCATGATTATCGCTGTAAAACCAACACGTCTTAATTAAAGTAAATTAATATAAATTAATCCTTTAACATTAGAGTTAAACATGAACTGTTGAAACAGCTCAGGCGATATAAGTTTGTTCCACTGACTCATTTTCTTGACTTTATATTGTTATAAAAATATAAGCATTATAATGTTGTACAGCTCAGCAGTTTATTAATCATCATGAGCCCAAATATACATCCAAATAATTCTTAATGATCCCCAAAGTGTAAAGATTTGATGTTTATTTTCTCTTCAAATAAAATATCTTTTGTGCTCAGTTTGTGTTGAACAGTTTAAAGTCGATCTGTCTCTTCAGTTTGTGTTGAACTCATCGTGTTTCTTTACCTCCGGGTGGTGCAGCAGGTAGGCCAGGATCCACAGCAGCGTGGTCGACGTCGTCTCCACTCCAGCTCCAAACGCCTCTGCCGCCGTCATCAGGACGTGGTCGTCTGTTATCCTCTCATCCTCCGACACAGATGACTTCGGGCCCCGCCCGCTGTCCACCTTCCCCTTGAGCAAGGCATCCAGAAGGTCACGGGGGTCACCGTCACTCAGCGAGGCCTGGGTACAGAAGAGTCCGTCCTTTGAGTTTAGGTCAGTTAGTGTTCAATCGGATTATTTCTTTCTTTTTTTAATCTTGTTTGCCAACAACCGCTGTAGAGGAAGCAGCCAATCAGGTGAGAGCCTGAGGCTTTGTGTTCTCCAAGCACCTGGACAATTGTACACACTTCTGGCTGTGCGAAGCCAAACCTGTTGTTTTTAATAGTAACTGTTTTATATTTATGTCAGGATTGTTATTGTTTGTGATCTGTAGGGCTGCGGGCACCCTGAGGTATTATATTTTATTATAACAGTGCGTCTGTCGTAAAAAGACTGAAAGAGAACAATAATAGTCAGCAGGATTGTAATATAGTGTTTACAGGCAGAGCCATTTATTATTTTTGCATTGTGTATTTTTGTCTTAGTTTTTAGTTTCAGTTTTTATTGTTCTATGTATAGTGGATTTTATATGTTTTAGGTTTTAACTCTTGTCCTTTGTTTCTGCCGCGGTTGGTTTCCTCCAGTCACTGTTGGTGGTGGCAGGTTTTTATTATTATATTTGAATTGGGTTTTGTTCATCAGTTCTTTCCATCTTTAGAGTTTTAGCAAATGCTCTAATAAACATCCAGTTCTGGCTATGTGTCCTCTTTGTTGAAGCCCCTGTGGTAGAGATCATTCTGTTAACGTTTGATATTGTAATATCTTGTAGGAAATAGGTGGAGCTGAATGAAGCCTGGTTACTGAGAACAGACGTCTGTCATTCATAAGTCAATTATATTATTATATCAATTATACAGTTTTCATGAACGGGGAAATTATCTATAGAGACAAAAAGGTTGTAAACATGTTTCTGCTGTAAAGATTTAATATGGGGCCTCATGAAGACTCACTGCTGGAGCCAGCCTCTAGTGGCCGTTAGAGGAACTACATGTTTTGTTACTGACAAAATAAATATTAAACAGATAATATACAATTTAAAAAGTGTAATGTTCTCATTGACAGGAAACGTCCTGCTCCCCAGAAAATGACGCTTTAGATTTTAATGAGCATGTGACCTCTGCCCTCAGGATGAACTACATTTTCAGCTCCATGTTTGAGTCTGTGAGGACGTTACCTTGTGCTCCTCCAGTTTGTGTGACAGCAGTCGGTCTCTGACGACGATACACTCCTTCAGTTTACTGAGACACTTGTTAGGAAACACCTGAGGGACGGAGACAGACGTTTAAAGTGTGGACAGCTTTTAAAAGTGGCAGCCTTTTTGGAAACTAAAGACATCATTGTAGAGTGAAGACAGGACACAAAGTTCACAGGACTGTTTCTGGGTTTAAAATGAGGCTTTAGGACTTACCTTCATCCAGGGGTAAATGTCCACCAGCCCTCCTCTGGCAATCGTCTGCACAATGCCGTCATTGTATTGGATCACTTCCTGCAGCTCTGCGTCACCGTGCCGATAGGTGGCGCTGAACACCAGCGTGCACACGACGTTGGTGACGGCTCTGGTCACCGCGGGAGACGGGTCGAAGCCACGCCGCCCGCTGGACAAGAGCTCGGCACACAGACTGTCCACCGAGGACAGAACTGGAGATAAAGAGAAAGAGCTGCTGATGGAAATGTTTTTAAATACTTCTGTTCAATAAATGTCAGTAAATATAAATTATTTATGATCTTTAGGAAGGAATAATAATAATAAAGCTTGTGTTAAATAATATTACAAATAATATCATTTTTTTTTCATATAAATAAGCAGATACAATATGGTAAATTTCCACAGGTTATAACAAAACTCTTTGTCTGATCAGTAAAAATCGGTCAGAAGAATTCTCACAAAGCAAAACAACAGAAAAAACACAAACTTATAAACTGTAATAAATATAAAGAAGAACGGCTCATACGAGGATGAGAAAGAACATGTAGAAAATACCGGAGATACAGATTATTAATTATTAATTCTTAAATCTAATGTCTATCTTATATTTGCTATTTGATAACAATGTTAAACCCACGTCCACACACTCCAGTCCAGCAGGGGGCAGTGATAAACCTACAACCTGGTTTGCCAGCTACCATTAAAACCCGAAGAAGAAGAAGACCTGCAGGTGATTCAAATCAAAATGGCGCCCACTGCTCACCTGTCTGTGTTATTAAAATCTGCTTGCGGAGGTCACATAAACACAGCCGGGTCACTAATTTATCTCCGAGACGTCTGAACGCTTCATACTGAGGTAAAATCAGACAAAGCTGCTTTATTGGGAGGATTCACTCTGATGTTGTTTGTTTGGTTCTTTTATATCACAAACGATTATTCCTTCATTTACTCCTGAAAACAATATAACTTTATTAGTGTTTAGTGCAGAGGTCAGAGATCAGTTCATTTGAACCCTCAAAATATGAAAAACCCTTAATTTAATAACTTAAATGTGATGAAGAGATTCTCACAACCCCTTAAGAACATAGTGTTTGAACTTCATCAAATTAATTATTATTATACTGTTTTCTACTAATAACGTATAAGTTAACATTTGGCTTCGTTTGTCGACAGTTTTAAGGGCTTTTTATCCTTCAATGTGTCCCTTAAAACACCTTAATTCATCATTATTAGTTAGCGTTATAGATCGAACTGTTTCTGACTGTTTGTGCTGTGATTATCTGTTATTGTCAGATGGTTTTATGAGTTCATGAAGTTCATTCAGGTCTTTATTGAGGTTCTACTGACTTTAAAGTTAAAAGCATCTTTACTGACTGTTTGTTTAGAACATTATATGAAGTATATAATGACCATCTTCTTGTCTCATAAGTTGTTGCATCATTTTTTACACAGATTTGGTTTAATGTGTTATATATGTATATGTTTAATAGATATAAACAGTAAATAACCCTCCACCACATTAAGACAGTATATTTATAGGTCTGTGCTAATTTTTGCCCGGCTGACTAACAAGTGGTCGTCATCCTTCTGGTCTGATCCCACTGAGGTCTGTTGGTATCTGGTGACTGTGATCAGGATGAGATCAGTAAGTGTGACCGTGAAGTGTTTTTATCTTTAAATGGACGAACAGAAAACAAATGATTGAGTTGTATTTTACAGAGAATAGTGAAATGATGAGGAGTACCGATGTCCTGCAGTCGGCTCGTTCCCTCTCCGAACAGAGTGAAGGAGTTGTGGACGAGGCGACGGTGAGACTTCCAGAGAGGAGAGTAGTCTGAAAACGCGATGTCTTTACCTCCTCTGGTCAGCAGGTTGGTCGTCACCTGCACAGACAGAAGAGTTAAAGCACAGGATCTGTTCACAAACATCTGTTCACAAACATCTGTTCACAAACATCTGTTCACAAACATCTGTTCACAGGATCTGTTCTGTTCATTTCATTAGTGCTGACACAAACAAACAGCTGAGGGGAAATAAACAGTAAAAGTTAGCTTATTAGCTAAACATGATTTATTATATATTTATATTTAGTTCTTGTTGTAAATGGCCTAGCCTAGCATTAGCTTTTTAACTGTTATCAAGTATTTTAAAGGACTCGCTTCACTTTTGCTTTTTAAGTGAGAGAAAATACAGTTACTACAAAACACGAGGAAACATCCTTAATCCTCTCTGTCCTCTCTCTCTCTGTCTCTGTCTCTCTCTCTGCTCTGTCTGCTGTCTCTCTCTCTCTGTCTCTCTCTCTGTCCTCTCTCTCTCTCTCTCCTGTCTTCTTCTCGAAGTCTCTCTCTTCTCTATCCTCGTCTCTCTCTCTCTCTCTCCAGTCTCTCTCTCTCTGTCTCTCTCTCCTGTCTCTCTCTGTTCTTCTCTCTCTCTGTCTCTCTCTCTTTCGTCTCTCTGTCTCTGTTCTCTCTCTCTCTCTCTGTCTCTCTTCTCTCTCTCATCTGTCTCTCTCTCTCTCTCTGTCTCTGTCTCTCTCTCTCATCCCCTCTCTCTCTCATGTCTCTCTCTCACTCTCTCTCTCTGTCCTCTCTCCTGTCTCCTGGTCCTCTTCTGCCCCCCTCTGTGTCTCTCTGTTCATGTCTCGTCATGTCTCTCTCTCTCTCTCTCTGTCAATCTCTTCTCCTAAAATGTCCTCTGTCTCTCTCTTCTCTCTCTGTCTCTCTCTCCTTGTCCTCACCATGGCTCGCCCGTCCCAGCCGAAGTCTCCTCCACCTCTCTGCACCGTAGTACCTCTTCTGGCGTGCTGATGGTTGTTAAACCACCAACGGTGTAGTGAGGACCGAGTAGAGAGCGAACAGAGGCGCCCGGTAGCCCTGCAGCGACAGTTAATTAATATAAATATCATATAATATATATATAAATAATCCGTTATTCTACATCCACAGCGAGCAGACCATAATGTTTACTGTATAGTTTTTACCATGCCAAAGAACCAGTTTAACCACATGACCCAATTACATAATGATAAATGCTGTAAAAAGGTTTTTATCATGAAATATGACATCATGTTTTCTGGTAATATAAAGAATAAAAAACTCCCCCCAGTCTTTTCAACAACCGATGGAATTTTTTTTCTTCAGTAGAAAATCTCGTTCATCGCTTGACTGAAGTTCTTTTTCAAACCATTTAAGAAATAAGACGAACTACTAAACTTCAGTTACCTGTTTTTTTGGAAAAAAAAAAGGAACTCACAATCCCTCCAGGATCAGGAGCTTAACCTTTGCGAGGAGTTCTCACCTGAGGGCCAGCTGGCTTGAAGAGGAGGTGAGGAGGGTAGGCCTCCGCCCCAGCCAGCGGGAGATGCAGGACGGGGAAAGCCACGGCAGGCAGGGAACTGGAGCCCGGAGCCGGACCGAGGTTCGGATTTCAGGAACGACCGCTGGGCGATCAGGAAGAACACGACTGCGCCGCAACAATGAGGAAGACGAGGAGGGAGGATGGAGGGAGGAAGAGGGAGGGAGAGAGGAGAGATAAAGGCTCTTACCGGAGGAAAGAGGAAATCCCAGGTGAACATGGCTGTGGTGAATGAAAGAGCGA